CTGGCCCTTTAGAGTGCAAGCGGGAACAGATGTGTGAGTACAGTAATTAGCTTTACACCTTGTCTAAGCCTTAGCCTCGGGCATAATAGCCTTTTAGTTACTTTATAAGACCCGTCTATGGTTTATACCGTGTTTAGTCAAGCACACGGCAACGCCCTGAGATTTCTATTGCTTAGTAAGCATTCAATTTACAAAGCTTAGCCTATATCTATATTTATATATTTAAATCTGTACCTTTAAGTCTAAAGCCTTTATTGATCTCATTATTGCTAGTATATTTTCACGTCGCTTGCAGTGGCACACCCTAAGGCATAGCCAAAATCGCATCATTTATATTAGTATTCATAAGAGTTTCTAGTAGTTATTTGATTGCTATGTTATCATAAAAACTATTAGTATCATTTTTACTTGTACTTTTAGTTTCTTAGGCCTAGGGCAAACGTCAAACTTTCCATGCACCGAACTTAATTACATCAATGAATGCCGCCTCATTATCACCTGATATCCATTGTTTTTAATGAGTTCGGTGCATGGAAAGTTCGACGTTTGCCCTAGGCCTTAATTTTTTAGAGTTTGTTATACCAAAACTATGATCAGAACGTATGTTATTCTTTATGCGTGATTCTATTATCTTGTAATCCTATCATTTAGTAATTAGTTCATTGATTGTATTGTTTACAGTTTACGTTTGATTATCGTCAATTAAAATCACCGTCAATCACAGCCGATTTTCCGTGGTTCCTGACCTTATTCAATCAGTAAAGCTCCCCCGCACACTGAGCTTGCCGCGACAAGTTTAGCTCGCTCTTCATCCTTCGCCGTAAGCCTAGCGCAACACTGGTAACTATATGTAGAAACGAACTAATCGAGAATTCTTATAAGAGCCGTGAAAACTTAACGAATAACCGGAATTACTGTTCATTTGCCATAGACTAGACCCTTTCTGATATAATATAGCTAACACAGTACAGTTAGGTGTGCACTCACTCAACATATCTTTTGTTTATCATCAGTGTTTTATATGGTGTTATTTGTACCCAAGCTAGACCAGATTGAATCGTGTTCATGGAACTCGAAAAACGCCTGTAAATAAGGGATAATTTGAAATCCTAATTTATCTGAATCATCAAACTAGAGCAATGCGGGAAAAAAGGCTACAAAGACTTGACGCTCTCCATAATTTCGTCCGGCAAAGTAAATATACATTTACGGATCAGTAAGAAAGGTTATCTGATATCAATGCATCAGTATATCAAGAGCGAATTATTTAAATTATATAGAGTTTCAAAATATAAACGTAAAGGAAGCCCGCGCTGTTGATTTTGTCTTTGTGTAAAACTCGTGTAAAAAAAAAGTCTATTTTGAATCTTTCTGCTATGGGATTCTAAATTATTCCTATTATATCTCTAATGATTTTTGGACGTTCAAATATCGCATGCGAATTGATGGGAAAACAATCCTTGTGTTGTTACTGTAGCCCAGTTATCTTGTGTGATTATTTAAAAACAACGTTTTTCTATCAAATTTTGAGAAGTATACACTCAATTGAAGAATCGTTGTAGGGTTCAGAAACATAGAACATAAAAGCTGAGACCGAAATGGCACATGGGAAATGACATAATTATATTATAATTTATTCATTTGCGCCATCCTTGCAGTCGGTTTAGAATGCCAAACTCGTATTCCGAAGACCTGCGTTTGAGAGCTGTTTGCCACGGGTAGCCGGTCACAGCATGCATCTCAGTTAACGTACTTCCCATGTGCCATTTCGGTCTCAGCTTCTATGTTCTATGTTTCTGAACCCGACAACGATTCTTCAATTGAGTGTATATACTTATTTTAATAAAGTTAGTCAACTGAAAAGCTACAAAGCAGAGACCGACAAGGATTATGGGTAGATATATTTTACATGTTTCAATCGCTTGATAACTGTTGATGGATTTTAGATCTTTTACCAGTTACAGTCTCACCTCTCCTGAGCATCCTCAAGCTGCAGTTCGTATCAAAAAAGTTTTACTTGTTCGAAATGAATTGTTTCCCATGATCCTCAGTGATCTCACCTTTCTAGGTTATTTGGTGACTAACTTTATTGAAATAATGAGAATATGTGGACCGCATGGGACTAATGAATTACATGAAGATATAGATAAGTTATAGTGCTTGGGAACGAGGTTATTCCGGGCGAAAGCCCTTGGAATTAAATTCGGAAAAATTAATTTCCAACCTCGCTGGGAATCGAACCCGGAATAACCTCGTTCCCAAGCACTATAACTTATCTATATCTCTATATCTTCATTTATTGAAATAAGTATACACAAAACTAGCAATCGTATATTTAATACGAAACAATTTCAATATTTTCATTTCAGAATCAATCATGTATGCACATGGTTTATGAAAACATGACTTTTTAAATTGTGTGACTTATCTCGAGCATATTTTATCTCCAAAGTACAGCGTGACAAACGTCCCACGTTTGAATAAAAAAAACAACTGTACTTTACCATACTTTGGAAGTAAATCGGAAAGCAGCCAAGCGAGATGACACGTGACCGTGCATGGTGCGAAACAATTTGACGTTATGATCATTAGCAAACAATAGAATTCCCAGAGCATCAAATCGTTGGGAAACGATCAATGTTTTCTGTATTTCTCGTTCGCTTTAGATCGCTTTAAATGAGTTGAATAGTCTTTCAATTTTGTGTAATATTAGTTTAAGTTCTAATTTGTATCCTGACGTAGTTTTGAGAGAAATGATCAGCGAATTTTAGAATAATGGAAGATCTAGTAAGATTGACTAGAAAACTGCGATGAAAAGTGCGCATCAAATGTTTACCCCGTCTACTACACTATACGTTTTCACGAAATCGCATAAGTCGATTACCTTCAAAATGTTCCTTTTAAAACTAGATACAGAGTAAAACTAAATGAGCAATGACTTTTGTGAAAATATAGCTCTGAAATATTAATTTCGGCCGTATGAAATCCATTGTTTAGTTTTGAAGTAGATTATGCACTATATTTAAATAATCTCAAATATCTCATGATTAGCTAGATAGATTTTTTCAAAAATCCCYACAAATGGAGGCATCTAGTATATAATTATGTGGTACGAAGCATTTTAGTGTTGAACACTCTGCAAGGCTAAAAGTGTTCCAAACGTGGAAGGTAGCGGTCAAGCGTGAGGGAGTCCAGCCACCTTAAGGGTGGAAAATGTACCTTATACATTTTGTAATTGCGGGTTTGATCATGATTTCAGGCAATAATGCACTCCACACAGTTCAATTACCATTATAAACTAGCCATAGCTATCGCTAAAGTGCCAACGAGGAAATGTAGTTTTCTAGAAATGATGAGTGATGAGACTAGTGTTTTAGAGAACTCTGTGATGTAACTTCCAGAATTAAAAATGTACTTTTGCATATGAAACTGTTAAAATATTTTGAATTGTACCTAGAGAGTATGTACTCATTGGGACTAGGGGCTAAACGGTTTTATTGAGTTATAGCATGCAATTTTTTTTACATGGAAAGCATAAATGTCAGCAAATCTTAAATACACAAGACTACAGTACACAACATTTTAAAGCAAACGACAAAATTTTTTAATGAATAACAACAGGAATTATGAATGCAATACTGACGTGAAAGAATGAGTCAGTAAGTATGAACCTTTCATGATATGCAAATACGTTTTTAATAACAAGGGAAATTTCATAATATAATTTTTGATTATATATATTCGGTATTTGAGTACTTTTACTCAAGTTTAATGTACATTCCAATCAAATAACGAAGCTATTACTATATGTATGATAATAATGAATACTAGGTTAAATGAAGTCTTAAAGTGATATGAGAGCAAAAAAGCACAACCGTGCGTGGTGAGACACAAGCGAAGTGACACCGAATACTCTTGTACTCTTCCATTCCAAATTAAACTATATTAATAGTTAACTAATATCACTTATTGAACACGCTGGTTCGAACATTAACTGAAACCACTCTAAGAAAGTATACACAGATTAATACCACAAAAGTAAGGAACTAAGACCAAATTAACTTATTGTTTATTACGAGCTTTTAACTCTATCAACCAAGCTTCACGACAAATCCTCCGAACAGGAGGCTTTTGATCGCGAGACTGTGATGACGTCACGAACAAATCATTCTCTGATTGGTTTAGAAGCGATTCTATTGTTACATTACATCACATCGATTCGCGCATCGGCTCTATGTTGCTGCCGCCTCGGCAGCCTCGCGTATTCGCTCGGCTGCCTCGTTGGCAATAAAGCTAGGTAAAGAAACACTATCTTGCGATGGGTTAGCTCCATTTCCTAAAGGCAAGGCCAAGAAAAACTACTAGTAATTCAAGGGGAAATATGATTAAAGCTTACCATAATCAGTAGCCTGATCTTTGCTTAGTAACTTCTCCTTCGTCAGTAGATCCACTATCATATCTTGAAGACATTGTAGCATGTCTTTCACTTCCTTATCTTGACGATACAATGATTTCAATTCTTCGATGTTTCTTTCATCTTCGTCGGTTATAGGACCTGTGAGTAACTTATCAATCTCATCTTCCCAATCTTTAGAAGGCCCTAGGGATGGAAATGACCCCACCATCCTCAGCAGAGCATCCTTTATTCGCTTCCCACAGGTAGTGAAATCGCCATCGCTGATTCCCAAGTCCTCCTTGGCGTGACAAAGTTCGTTTCGATAATACTTAATCCTGGCCAAGTCATCAGACAAAGAATGATCCTTGTCGTCAGGCAAGTCGTCCCATCCTTTAGGAGGCGCTGGCAATCCAGAGAATTCTCTTAAGAGTTTGAACAGCAATGTGATATCGAACGATTCGGACTTGCCATAAACTCCTGGCGACGGAAACAGGACTTTCCACTGCGAAGAAAATAATATCTTTTCTTTTTTCATTTGTTTTAATCTTGATTCAACAGCCGGCTCATTCAACTTTGTCGGCAACTGTGATGGAGGAATGATAGAATCGAATACTCCTCTTRCAATTTTCGTACCACCACACATCARAAGTCTAGCAAGTCTGATGTAGTTAGTCTTTTCCGCTGAGGGCTTCAGTACTTCGGCAGGATTAGCAGCCATAGCCATGTTGACTTAAACTTTTGAAATATTTCCTCCACGTAAAATGACTTGCATTGAGGCTTTGGTAGAAGCCCCTGGTGGGCTTTACTGTAAAAATATAGTGAAAAGAAGGCATTGGCGCGTGTCGCACCCTTTACAAACAGCCATACGAAGACGAAGCAAAAGGACTGTTCTTAAGAACAAGATCATGTGACTCCACAAAGTCGCCAAATATGGAAGCGCTATTTATGGGAACATTACATATCAATATTCCTCACTCATGCATGTTAATTTCAGTCGATTGAAACACATATTTATTTAACATCAATATTTTTAAAAAAAATTTTTATTTAATTTTGTATTATCATTGTTGAATTATTGTTTTCATCTTGATCGAGCTTTTAAACATTCTTAAAGCCTAATAATGGAAAACTGATGATAGTCTCCAAAATCTTGGTCAAAATAAAAGAATTGATTTCTTGATTATTTGCCAATGTTTAGACTATGTCATTCATGAAAGGGTCAAGGATGGTGGACCATTACAGTCAAAGGACATGAAGCGTGCCCATCTAGAATGCATTATTGAATTCATTATTCGATTTTTGACATCAGTCTTCGTTTTCTAATATTCCGTAATTCTTTTAAAAAATGAAATGAAATCTCGAAATCTGATTGCGTTGGCTTGTCACAGGCTTTAGGGAATTCTTTGCTTTTTGACGTGAGAAATATTTGCGAACAAATGTAAACCACTCAATGACACTCAAATACCCGTTCTGTTTTGCTGTGTTCATAATCTTTATATCAATTAACATGGAATTTTGTCCTTTTCAGCACCTTGTTCATCGGTTTAATTGATCAAATACTAAGCAAACAGGTAGAGCGTCAATTTGAATCGAAGCGTTAGCGTAACGCTTGTTTTCTGGGAAACTGTCTATTTTTACGTCGCAATCCTAATAAGGTCACAAGCTCGCATTCCTAACATTCATCACCAACTGTATAACGGTTTTAACCATTTGAGATTTTAAAGAAAATAACGGAATTATCTATTTTATCGAATCTTATATTGGAAGAATTTCAACAAAATCTATTGTCTTTAAGATCATCAGCTCAAACAGATTAACGTTTTTTCCATCAGTTACAAACTTGTACAAATGCTGAAAAGTAATCCAATCAAGTTTCCAAGTTTGGATTTAAATTTGATTTCATTCTCGGAAGATTGGAACGACCAAAAATCTTCTTATGAATTGAATAATGCAGTCTAGCTGGGCACGCTTCATGTCCTTTGACTGTAAAGTTGTCATGACTAATTTTTGTCTGTGACATCAATCAATATCGAAAAACGATTTTCAGTTCAAAAGATTTTTCTTACTTTCTCTTCATGACAAGATTTGTTGAGCATCTTTGATTTTTTCATGTGGAGAGGAAGTCATTTTCACTTTATTTTAGCGGCTCTTGAGAGAAAATGGACCAACTAAAGGTCACAAGTAAAACTTCTCGACTGTCATAATAATCACTGCCGCTGTGCATTCTGCATTTATTAATTTCATTTTACTTTAGTTGGAGATGTAACTGAAATAATCAGAGATTTGCTTTTGCATGTCAAAGTGCAGCTGCTTTAGCTAGGGGTCGATAAAATTTCAAGTGTTGAACCATGACAAGCATAAACTTTTCGTATTACTTTTCGCACAAGCAACTTCTCATCGTATCAAAGTGCAGTTGCTTTAGCTAGGGGTCGATAAAACTTGAAGTGTTGAACCATATCATGCAAGCATAAAACTTTGTCCTCTCGTTGCTCAAAGCAACTTTTCATAGTAGGGCTTTAATTAATTTTAAATTGACAAACGAAAACCCCAATCATGGCCAATGAACAGACTGATTCAAGTCTGATTCAATAGTGTAGATTTAACCTAATGCAAAATAATCAGTGCCAGTTTCCTGTTCCATGGTAAAGCGCAAACAGGAAGTAGATTATTTTGGTCATGAGTGAAACAGACCACTTAACTTGGATGTAATGTTTTTTTCAATTATTGCATTGACGTCTTTCTTCGGCCAACCCCCCCCCCCCCCCCCATATCATAAAACAACTTCAACTTACTTACTATCTCGTTGTTCTCTGTAAGTTTTCAGGACCAGTGTGTATATCTTTTAAATTTGAGTGTCTTTTTAAGTCCAGTGCCTGGTAAAAAATAATTCATTTGACGCGAAATAAAAGAATTAATAACAGCGTTTTGCTAGACTAGTGCTGGTGTTTGCTAGATTTGTAGAGTTTTAAGAAGAACTGTTACTAAAGTCGATGTCACAGCCGCGCATTTTAAATCAATTCAAGTCACGAAGTATTGTTGACTGAAGAATCAGATTCAAAGGGCGGGCTTCCACCATAATGGGCTTTAATGAGCAGCACGTGACCGAATGCGTAAATAAAAATGACCTGATGTCAAACACCTGCCCGCGAGCTTCATTAAGATAACCTACTAAACTACTAAAGCTGAACATGCATCCTCAACTTCAGAAAATATACAAAACTCTTTACTTTTTCGTCAATCTCTTAGGTCTTGTTAACTTTTCTTGGGGGAATCTAATAGAAAATTATTATTTCCAAGCGAGAGGTAGATCCCTCATGAGAAATCGTGCGAGTGGGATACACTTTGCCGTRTTGAACAAACACCCAAAAAAATACCTTGATGTTTTGTCATATCGAGTTCTTCTGGTCAAAGATGAAAAGCTCTGTGAGGTTTCTTGTGTCGGAAGCCATCMRTGTTTCTCRTTCAACTTGGTAGCCGATGGAGGGATGTTAAGATGTGAACTTCTTTCKACCGACATGTTTAATTCTTCGTCAAGTTTGATCAACAAAACAGACTCTRTGCATTTCAGCATTAAGGTAAGTATCTTTTATTTCTGAAGTCATTAATCATCATTTATCATAAAAATAATAATAGTCTTTATTGGAAAAAGCACTTGACAAACGTGAGGGCTCACAAATATTAAAAACTGTGAAAAATGTAAAAGTCTACTGGGGAACTGAACTAAGATAGATATGTAAAAATAAGATCGCAAATGTTGGGCACTAGATATATTTTAACCAAAGCTCAGCTACTGATTTTCCAAAACGGATTTACAACACAAACATCACGAACACCTGTCGCTTTTTCCACCAGCAAGTTCTGGAAAACGATGTTTTTGAGCACGTTTTGAGTTCTTAGCAGTTCTTAGCAATTTTATTGCTACGTAAATATACTATTGAAGTGGAGACTTAAATTGTTCTATAGCTTTTTAAAATCTTAACGTTTTTTACATTTTTTTTTGTTTTTTGTTTTTTTGAAACTTTTGGCTTAAACTTGTCGTGCAACGGCATTGCGAGACAAGTTTCACAGGGGTGTTACACGGCGCTATTTCGTCCTGAAAATAAACTTGTTCCCGACACAAGTTTCGGTTGCACGAGTAGAAAGCAGTTCTACTTTTCGTGAAACTTTCTCGCGACAAAATTTTCACAAAGCTGGGGTGTTACACGGTGCAATTGTTTCTGAAACTTGTCTCGCAACGCTGTTGCACACAAGTTCTCTTAAGCTAAAAGTTTCAACGTGTAACAGGATACCTATGACACCTAGATATATAAAAAAGGAAATTTCAAGCTTCCTGATTATAAATTCAAAAGAAATTGCAAGAAAAACAATTAATAACAAGTACATTGATATGGCATACTTTCAGCAACTTTTAGCATATTTAGTATTCCGTCGAAGCTAAACATACTGAGTATTGCAAAAAAGTCAGAATTGGAAGTTATTTGAAAACACTTGTTTTCTTATTAGTAACACTTAGGGAATAGATAAAAACGTGTCTTGTCGAGAGATTTTAGTTATATGTAGGTAATATATTGATATATAAATGTGTTTGCCTCCTGGCTCCTTTAACGCGCCTTTAGTTCAGTGATACGACATATTAACTACACATTACACATTTATTAGTAAAGAAAACAATGACAGTACAAAGCACCTGACCACGTTGATAAACAGCGAGAAATAATGAATATTCTGATTTTAGTTGGTGAAAAATATACTGGATAAAATTTAAAACTACTTAAGAAAAACTAAAATTTGAAAGTAAGGAAAGAAATAAGAAAAGCGAGTAATAAAGTAAAAAATGATATTCCTGAGACGTACGTCGATACGAAATCAACTTTTCACTTTAACTATTATTAAGTTAAATCAATTCTCCTACTTTTCGATTCCAAACACCGACGCGGTTAACTAGTTTATCTAGTCTCTACCATTTTCACTTTAACGRTGTTGTAGTTATTTTTCAGTTGGTTAATTCTGGTTTTCTACAGTTAGGGTGTGTATACATTCTCAGGTCTCAGCATATCAGAAATTATGGGATATCATCCCTGATATATCAACTTGTCTATCACTAGGGCTTTCGCGGGGAAAAAATCAAGAACGATATTCCGTTATTTGTGATGGATTTTTAATATACTTGTGTGTTTATTTGAAACGGCCATAATTTTTGCAAATTACTGTATGTCAGTGTCATAAATTGGTAAAATTCTTACGTTTGAAATGTTAATACGATCAGTGAATTTTCGTTTGAATAGTGTTTTTATTAAAGAATCCTCATAAGATTTCCTAAAAACTCACTATAATTATTACAATTTCTTCAAWAACTCATGCATAATTCATAAGCTCTAATCCAATTGGAGCGAGCACAGACGTCACGTGCATGCGACCTTTAACCCGATAAAGTCTTCTTCATTAGTGCTGTTTATATAAAAAATACTAATGAGGATGAGAACTTTATTTAAAGATTTTATCCTTATTAGTATTCTTCACATAAAGAATACTAATGAGGACGACCTTATCAGAGGTAAAGTTGCATTCAAGTTTAGATGGAATTTTAGAGCCTCATACGGTCTCATACGCAATGTCTTTTATTTATTTATTTTTATTATTTTTTGTCTTGTAAATCGTAAAAATTGTAGAAAATAAAGTCTATTTACAATCTTTTCGTTACGGGATTCAAGTAACAYTCGTGATGAGTACGATATCGGTTTTCGAGTGAAATGAATTCGCKGGTCAGCCAATACATAGTTAAGTATGGCCAATAGATCTTTTCCGAGATGCGTGAGCGCCGTTAAAAGTATCGTGTGC